CACTTAATCGACAATTAAAGGAGAAGAAAAAGAAAAGCGAAAAGGCAATTTTCTCATTTAAAATACCCACAGTGGAGGAGAGTTTTGTGGAGAAACGATCTCCCCTGTACGTGGAACGGACGGTTCCGGTGAAAAATTCAATTGCTGGCTTGAATCACATCCCTTGATAAAGAATCGCCGGGAAAGGAATTCCCGTTCAAACGCCAGAAGGGTTTCTCTCTCTCTCCCTCTTGAGAACCTCTGAAAGAATAACCAGTCTAAGCTTCCAGTTCGAGAAGCGAATCTACCTGAAATTTATAATTGATAGGCTATCGAATACCACTTTCCTCAAGAGAAAAGCAATCTCGATCTTGAAAGACGTTTGAAGAGACCAAGAAACCGATCAATCATTCAGACACTTGTTACGCGGTTCATAAAAAGGAAGAAGCTTCATAACAGTGGAAGAAAAATCATAAAAAAAGAAAAAAAAAAAAAAGTAAACCGGATCCCACTTCAATCTCATAAGAAATCTTACAACAAAAATCAACCACTCTGATAATAATTTACTCACTCATAACTATAATAAAAAAGAAAGGGAAGATTTAATAACAGATATTAGCGATAGACAAATGGTAAAAAAAGTAATAACAAAGTAGGTAATACTTCGTAACGATGTTCAATCAAACAATTTCAATGGCGCTCGTAGAGCAGTTTTAATAAACAATCTTATCCAACGAAAAGGAAGTTATTTCTTTTTTTTTTTTTTCAAAACGGTGAAAAGGAAGTCACAAAACACGGCGAACCACTACGATATCCACTACACGGGCTCGTACGCGTATAGCAACGGAGCACCGAGCGTGTACAGCAGCCACTATCCGGCGAACGGTGGCTTCGTGCAGCCTCATCTTCATGAAGACTACCGGCCGATTTATTTTTACGTAGCGCAACCTTATACTATTCCGTATACGTTTGCGAAGAGACCGAGACCGCCGTCGTTGTTAAGATCTGGGAAACCTCGGAGTAATTGTCGCGTCAAATTCTCCAAGAGGCTTGGCAATAACGATTTCTCGCAGAAGGTCAAACAAGGAGAGTTTTCGAGGAGTCTTAGTCAGGTTCACTTCGTTGAGAATCAAGGACAAGGTATGTATTTATTTATCATTTTATTTTATCATCTTTTTTTATTAATATTAATGTGTTATTATCTAACAAATAGAGCTTAAGTGGCCATTATTTCAGATTATTTCACTTGTTTTCAATGAAAAAAAGAAATAAGCATTAGATTGTTCCAAAAGTTATTTGCATGATTATAATAGTTATGACTTGAGAAATATAGTAAAATATGTTTATTCTAATTTATTTTTCATTGATATTGGGATTTTATTCAATTTTATTCTAGCTTTTCAAAAATACTAGTGTTAATGTTAAGTATCTTGAGTTCTTTAGCAAAATTTACCAATATTAATGATATTAGATATAGAATTAATAAATTATAAATTAGATTAGATTAATTTTATTCAATTTTGAAATATTTTTTTTCTCTCTATCAAAAAATGATCAAGTTATTTCTTTCAGTATATATTACTATGAGAAAAAGAAGAAACTTAGAATTGTCAACAATTATAGATTATAGATTATACATTATCATATAGATTATAGATCATACATTGGTTATATATAAACAGGATCAAAAGGATGAAAAAGTTTGCAACCAAAAAAAGTAATTGTACATTTTGGTTGAGACGCTTTCACGCTAATAGATTTTTCTAACAAACCGGATAATTGTTGCGAAAGTGGCATAGTTTCTGTAACATTATTTAAATACTTGCTGTCGTCAAGTAGACTACCGATGCCTACGCGGAGAATGACTGTTCCTATCTGCAGAGGTAGCACATGTGCAAAACATTTGAAACGATGCTTTGCTGAAAAGAGAAAATGTTTGAAGAGAAAGGAACATTCTCCAAATATAAGGTGTCATTCCAATGACCCGTCAACGATAAACGGACATCGTATTTGGACGTGAGATATGTGTTGTCTTCGAATGGTTTTCACATTTGCACGTACAAGGAAACAAGTTGTATGTACTATGCACTAATGATAGAACGACATTTTTTCACGTATCTCTTAAGTTTATGACGCGATATAACATATCGATTAAATGAAATCTTTAATGATAAAATAAAAATCTTGTAAAGATTTTAAATGACTCCAAGATTGAGATTCAATGATTGAGAAATTCTAAATATTTTAATGGTATGAGAATTCCAAAAGATTTTATGAATATAGATTCTAAAAAAATTTAAATAGCTTTTTTTAAAAAAGATTCCCCTTTGGGGAAATTTATAATTACATGACGAATCAAATTGTAGGAATATAGAAAATTCTAAATATGGTTAAGATTAAATTGGTAAGATTAAATAATATTTCAATAATTCTAGAAATATAATGATATAAATATAATGTTAAAAGATTTTCGAATTTTAAAGAATTTAAATATAGAGAAATTTAAAAAGATTTTAAAAGAAAGAAAGGAAATGGCATTAGAAATATGAAAAATTTTTAAAAATTCTAATGATTCTAGAATGCAAAAGGTTTTACAAAGTTCTTGAAATTTAAACATTTCATACTATTAATTTCTTCAATTTTTCCAAAATCTTAATTTCTTTTTTCAATCTATGATATATTAGTAACATGTAGAATTTGCAATCTTTTTTAGAATTTTTTAGATTTTTCTTTAATCATAAATTTTGTCTGATCTTTTGAAATCTTCATAACGCCCAATTGTTTAAAATTTTCTAAAATCCTTTTATATTTGACATATGAAATTTCTCATAATTTTAAGAATAGGGATAATTTTTTATCCTTATATAATCTTTTAGAAATTTAGATTTCTTGAAAATCTTTTTGATCTAACAAAAATCTTTTTGAATTATCTGCAAATTTATGAACCAAACTTGTGAAATTTTTAATGTTATATATATGAAAATTACTATTTATTTAACAATTTCTTTACCATCATACGATTTAGATTTATTTTATCTCTTTTCTATTTTAAATCCCTTTTTTAATCCCAACTGTTGAACGACACATTCGTCTCATCGCTAACAACGATGCATACTTATCATATACCAAATTTCATGTACCATAGTTTAATTACACAGTGGAATTTCGCGGTACACAAACTTGTTTCCTGTCACAGTATATAAACTTCATTGAAGTTTCACGGGTTGGTCGGTCTCAGAATGGAAGGAATGCGAGTCACGCATCCGGTATTACTTGCCACTTCTTTTCATTTCTCCTCTGTCCAGTGATCTCAAACTATCCGAAGACTGGGTTGCCTCGTGATCCAAGGATGACGTCTATGTTTCGAAGGGGCACGATTTTTGCCACGTTTTTCCTTTCGTTGCTGGGGGGTGGATTAGTCTGCGCCGCATTGGTGACGCAACATTGGGTGGAAGCACGACCCTTCAGAACTCCAAACCCTCAAGAAAGTGCCGGCAGAGTTCACTTCGGCCTTCTTCAAGGAAAGAAGGAATTGAACGTCGCTTATGGTTGGAGAACCTATCATATTTCGGGTAAGTTCTATCAAGAATAATTAATTAGATTCGATTTTTTTTTTAATCAAATAACAATTAATAAATAAATTTTATTTAAATTATTCGATTTCAATAGGATTTTGCATCAAAAGAAATTTGTCTTTGACAATTTTTGAGTTATTATACGTATAATATATCTAAAAAAAATAAATTTTCTATAGATTATGATCTTATATGTAATAAGAATGTAGATTTTCTCTTGCATTTAACAGAAAATATTTTATAAACAATAACCATATAAGTTGTTTTTTTCTATTTTTGTAAAAAAAGAAATAGATTTATCTCTTTCTTGCTATAAATTCTTTGCTATTAATTCTTTATTCGTTTTTTCAATATTCAATAATTAAAGAAAAGAATACTTATTTACTATTGATTATTTAGAGAAACTTTATATTTTTTCTTTTCCATTATGACAATTTTCTTTTTGATGAATTTTATTGTGTTTTTGTTATTATCTACAGTTAATAAACAAGCATAGATAATGACAAAAACAAATGACTTTAAACGAATGAACTTTCTTTATTCATTAATTTTCACAATTGAATATTTTACAATAACTTATTTTTTATGAATTCCTTTTCTTTTATGTGTTGAGAAATATTTAATATTAATTGTAATATTGTTAACATTAAATTTAATATTGTTAATATTAATTTTAAATATGATTGAAATACTGAATTTTAGAAAAATCCATGTTGTTGTATAATATTATATTTTATATCTTTATATCTTTAGTTTTTATAAATTTTATAGACTTTCTAGAAACCAAGATTAATCAATATTAATCATTATATATATACAATCATTAATTATTTTTATTTAATAATTTTTTAATAAATAAATTCGATTCATTTCCAATTATTCCTCTATAAGATTATATACTTACTATATATTATATCTCAATAGATGGTAAAAAAGATTATAACAATTATATATTCTTTTCAAGAATTAAAATTCTTGAAACTTATCTTTCCATCAGTTTTGAAATAGTTAAATAAAATATTACAATTAATAATTATTTTCTTCTTCTTATATTTCTTTCATCAAACATACATTATTTATACAATAACAAGTACATTATCGAGTATTAATTGAGCTTATTTTTTTCCCGTTAAAATTTTCTTTCACATATTGTTTATCTTTATGATACAAAAATTCATCATCCATTCTCCAGTTTCTACCTATAACAATTAATTAAATTATTTATAGTTTCACTTCATTAATGAATATTTGATTTTGATAACTATCTTGATTGCCTCAACGTTATAAAGATATATTTATTTCAACATTGTAAGAAATATTTCCTATAACAATTTTTCCAATACGAACAAACACGGAATTCAATGGTTTTTTAAACATCTAAAATGCGGGTAGTAGCATCCCGTGATTGCTAAACGCAAAAACTTTCCTACGAGAATAGTCAGTATTGTTTGCTCAATTCAATTTACGATGAAGTTTATGAGTTAAAATACCGGCCACGTAGTTTTTTCGCTATAATCGTGTACTAGACACGTTAAATTATTCAATCTGTTCACCGTTGACTAATTTGAGTTTCTAACGAGTTTCTCACCAACAACTCGTTTTATATAACTTTTCTTCGATGCGAGGGGTGAGAATTTTATCTTGAGAGGACAAGATTATCTTGGACGTAACCAATCGATAATGAACTGTAATAATTATATATTTTATAATTACAACGTAATATATTTTTATAGCGTATATAGAATGTTTCATTTAATTAGAAAAAATTAAATGTCTCACGAGAGATTGAAAAATTAAAAAAAAATTAAAAAGATATATATATTCTCGTAAAAGTTGTTTGATATAATGAGATATATTATGGAATGTTAATTAATTTTCTTTAAATAGATAAATTTTTTCTAATAGAGGTCATACGAAAATTAATTTTAATTTTTTTAAATAAAATATATATTTTTAATGTACCAGTCGATGTAATTCATTATTTAATATAAGAAAGTATTAAGTTATTTATATCGAAAAATCATTTCATAATTTATATGATGAAGTTCGTAAAACTTATTCTATGAAAGAGAATCATATATTTTTATTCATGCTTTCCTTATATTTCATATATCAAATTTACAAATAAACTTAGATTGCCAAAGACCAAGAGAAAATTTTATTGTTAAATTTTTCTAAAATGAATTTTTATTTTTATTGAAAAAAATATTTTAAATATTCATATAATAATATTTTGTTTACTGAATTAAAGATTTTAATAATGCTTCAAAATTTTTTAATTTCCTTCTTATTTTTATTAAAAAAAATATATCATAGAGAATAAAATTAACGAGTAATGGAAATGTGTGTATATATATATGTATGTGTATAATCATTTTCTAAGGATTGCACGAGATTTTAATTTTGCCAATTCGATATAATGATGGAATAATAATAGCCTACGAGTTATAGTCAGAGAATCACACCGAGGAAAATTCTCTTTGGTGCTTCAGGTATCCAATGTGATACTGAGGCCATAAATTGTATCGGATAGTTGGCCAGACCGGAGAATCTCATTCAGCATAACTGTACCTGCACGCGATTTCTGTGGGAGATGGTAAACAGCAAAGTCGCACGTTTATCCGCCATAAATCTACCATTTGATATTAATCGTTACGCTTGGATCAATTTCGTTTCATCCACAATATACTTCATATTTTCGATCCACAAGGTTAGACTTGTTAACTCGCGATAATTCACTCATTCGCTTGTTAAGAAATACATACATTGTTTGTGTTTGATCATGATGATGAAATACGAATATTTTGATTTCGTTTCATATATGTTTTGATTCTTGACATTATTCTTCAATTTAAAGTTTGATTTGAATTATGGAAAAAATTGAAATGACAATAATTGATAATAAAAATATAAATATGAATAATAATTTTAAAATTTTGTTGTCATTGCAATAATTATAATAAATTTTAGAGTTTAATGATTTATTAGATTTAATTTTTAAATATATATCATGCACATATGTTATATGATAAATATATATATATATATATTATCGGTAATAAATATATATATTATAGATATTTTATTACAAAATCTCTAAGATAAATCTTCATAAAAAATCAATTGTTTTTCAATGTTAACATATTATTCTTGTACTCAAATTTTCTGTACACCATTTAAAAAAAGATAAACATCTTTCGATCAATTATTCCTACAATCAAAGTTAAGTTTCAATATACTTCCAATGTATTAAAATTATTTCTTGATCGTTTTTAAGAATTCTTTTAATCTTTCTTTTAAATCATCTCACAATTGCTCTATTATATGCTATCAGACAAAGCGAGACATAATAAGAGCATACATAAACATTGAATTGCATAACATAACCTAACCTAAATTCTGTACAAATATCATGCGCAATTTTTTTCATATTTTAAACATATCATAATAAATTTTTTTTATTTAAAATAGATATTAATAAATTCGTTAAATAAATTTACTAAAGAATTTCTTCAAGTTTCATAGAATTATAAAAGAAAAAGAAGAAAAAGAAATGCAATTTATACCTTAAATTAAAAATTAAATAATGAGTTCACATCTGTATGAGCCTAAGAATTTTTCTCAGCTTCTCAATCGAACTCGACTAACGAGACTGTTTATAATGCTCGCGTGTCTTGTCATCCTGATACTGAAATCGTTATTGTCGGAGGAAACTGTTATCGTGCCATAAGCGGTGGTACAATGCTGGTCGGGCACTCGAGCGAAAACTTCGCTCTCTTTCCCTCCAAGCATCTTACCCTCAAAGTGAACTCAGTCGGTACACGTAATCCCTAGGGTACGCTGCCCGGCAGCTGAAACATTTGAATAACAATTTTATGGGCTCACCGTGTATAACGGTTCGTCTCACGCACTTCGGTCGCGGCATAATTTTCGCAAGAGACCGGACACAAAAAGCTGTCCTCTAAAAGGGAAATTATATGAAATATGCTTGTTATCTTAACTATGTTTTCATGATCCAAATTTTTTCGTGACATTGAAAATATATAAATGATCAATTAATCAATTTATCAATCAAATCTATTTATTCAAATATATATAAACATGATAGTTACGTACTTAGACCTTTAAAAAAATAGCTTAGATTAGGATAAACGATTCTTTAAATTTATAGTGATTGATATTGTATATTAAAATTTATAAAAAAATATTGATATCAAATTAGATTAATTTATTGATTTTTTATGATATCCTCATTTTCTTATACATATAATTGTCAATTGTCTTACAATTTTCAAAAATGGTGTTATTATTATAATGAATTTCATTTATAAGTATACCTGTGGTAGTGTATACATCAGACATGACAACCACTTAGTAGATATTATACAATTCATTGTTCAAAATGTATTTCAGACTAGATATTTATCTTTATCGTTTCGGTCATTATAATTTCAATCACTCAAATGTTGTTTTATTTTCGTATTCTGAAAAATTGAAAATGGAATGCTTAAACATTTAATAAATAAATATTAAAATTTTCACATAATGTTCAAATTTCAATATAGTAATTGTTCAATAATTTTTTATAAACATCTTTAAAAAAGACCTTATTCCCTTATTTTCTCAAATAAAATAAAAATCATCAATATAGGGTGTCATATATCGATAGATTCATTTCAAATAATATTTTTAAACTATAATCTTTTTTATCTCGTTACGTCTATTCTGTAAAGAAATTTTCACTATATATATATATATATTTGCTTTTTTTTTTTTAGTTTTGTATTGAGTACTCAATCCACAGAACCAATTTTCTTGTAACATTTCTTGTCTGTTCTCGAGATATTCGTTTCTTTCGGTATCCATTTTAATATTGCATTCTAATAATACAATATCTTTCTCTGCTTCGCTCCTATTTGTTCCCAAAATTTTGACCATCTATCAAGAACTTCACATTCTCATCGCAATTCATATGAAAATATTTATTCATAGACAAGTTAATTACATATTATATGAGAAAAAAATGTGAGAATTCTTTTTAAAACAACAATTTCGGTTAATCTCATTCAATATTGTTTTTAATATAATTTTTAAATTAACGAATACTTCATTTTACATTCTTTTACAACTTCAAAATTCAATATGCAGATTATAATTATGGAAACTGGAGAATACAGCAGAACAGTAATTAGAGCTTCGTGGCCAAGCAATTTGATCCAGTGGCAACTAAATGTAAAGCATCAACCACATTACCATTCTAATTACAAATGATTTTCATCTTAGGAACATGATATTTTCTTTGTTACTTTCTCGTATTCCTATTCAATAATGATCGATTCTATAAATATCGAATAACAACCGCATTAAAATTCTTCATTAAACAACAACTTCTAAATTAAAAAAAAAAAAATTATATTTCCATTTCCAACATTTCAATATTAAAATTTAATATCATTCCTTATATTTCATTTTCAATTTTTTTTAATAAGTAACAATAATTATAGATTTAAGAAAATTATAATTTCCAATCTCACATAACACACATAATTTAACAAAATACACAAATAATAAAGTTCATCATTAACGAATATCAAGCTTATTAAAAATTCTTGTTTTAATTAATTTGCATCGAAATATAATCCCTGTTTATCAATTTATCAATTTTGTATATATATATATATACACGTAAAAACTATATCGAGCTATCATCGTATTAAGTTCAGCCATCTTTCTGTCTCTCTCTTTCTTTTGATAGGGACAATGAGATTCTTGGCACGCATCGTAAAAAATGTTTCTCTTTCATCGAGCTAGAAAATCATCCCAAAGGGACACGTACGATTTGATCGTGTATGTAACGACAGTTGCGTGATGTGCACGATTAACTATCGTATAGTTTACTACCTTTAAACGTGAGGTCAATAACAGCTTTTTCGTTTTATCGTATCTGTTGTATCGGTCATTGGTATGCGTATCGCAATGGGATCAGTGTAAACGTTTATTAATTCCATTCGTCCTTGTCTATTGGATATAATCAATTGATAATCGAGAAAAGAATTAATTACGCTGATGCACGCAACTGGCATATTCGCTTTGATCATTCATTGAAAATACTATAATTAATGTTACAAGTGAAAGGGATTTATTATTCTTTTGCTTTTTTTTTTTTTCCTTTTTTTAATGGATTTTTATTTTTCTTGCGAATCACAAGATTTATCGTCAAGAATCGTTCATGAATCGTTAATTATTAATGAAATTTTATGTTGATAATCTTTTTTTTTTTTTTTAATGATTGAATACTAAATTATAATTTCTAAAAAAAAATTGATCATAGATAATATAATAAGAAAGTAGAAAATCCATTTATTCGATTACATTAAGTGCGAACATATTTGTTATTAATTATTGGCTGAAAACTTACGATTTAAGATAAAATTCTAAACAATCATAGAATATTTTTTGATATAATGAAATAAAAAAAAAAACAATTTCTTATCAAAATATAGTTAATAATTTCATATCTATTAGTTATTTAAATTATTTAATAATAGACAGACAATTGAGAAATAAGTAATGTATACGTTTCTGATATCTTGTCATCGGAAATTTCATTAGCGGCAAGAACTTTTGCGACATTCATGCATAGAGGCAAACAGAAGAAACGATTGAATGGAGAAAAGAGGCCCGAGGGAAAGATTCCATGCGCGAGAATAACCGAGATGGTTGTAACAATAGGAGCAGAAACTGGTTTCTGAATGTGCAAAAATCCACGACACTGCCTCGTGGTCGACTTTCACGTGTCCAGCTGCCTCGTATCATCGACTACTCTCAGATGCTGACCACGGAGAATATTAAAATCCTTTTTCTCAGAAACGATCAAGATTTCACGGTCAACGAAAGTCATGGATTATATTTCTTATATTCTCTCATATTTTATTTTAATTAATTGTGATTACTTTTGTGTATTTTTTTATTAAATTGTAATATTCATTTTGATCATGTTCGATATTTTTTTTTAGACTTCATCTAATTCTGAAGAATGTCTTTTTCTTAGAAAAATTTCATGGTTAATGAAAATCCTGGACACACATTTTTTTCGTTTTATTCTTGTTAATTTTTCCTCTTTTTATACTGAAAATTTATCACTGATCTGATGTTTAATAGTTTTTTTCTAGAGGAATTGAATTAGAATTTAATAAATTTTCTATTGTTAACAATTGAAAAATGTGTTTGTTATCAATGTGAAATTTCAAAAATTTATATATTTATTATTAAAATTCACGATTGTTTCAACTGTGTTGGAACTGAATGCTTCGAGTCTACGTCGAAGTCGAGAAAAGTCGTAACTCTTGAAAAATTCTTCGGATGTCCTTTCGTGGACGCAAGTTGTTAACTTGACGATTCACTGAGAACCTCGCCTGCGGCTAATTAAATAATCCGTTATTTGCGATGCAATATAACTTGAACTGGCCAAAGCAAGAGTATTTACTGCACGTTTAATTATTCATTATGTGCCACGATAACTTCAGTTTGCACGCCAATCCAAAGTGAGATTCGGTTTACTCGGAAAAAGTGGATTCTAAAGTGAATGAAACTTTTTCACAAATAATAATGGATTGCTTAGATTAATAATATGATAATGTTATTTAATAATAATAATAATTCGTTATCTCAAATTAATATAATTTTTAAATATTTATTTTTATTTTTAATTTCATTAATTTTATTAACTATTTATAAGAATCTTAAAGAATCCTTTTAGAAGATAAAATAAATAAATTTTATTATAAAAAAAAAAGTATAAAAGCAGATTCTGTTTATACTAATTTTTATTTTTAATTATGATTCTGTATATGTAGAAAATATTGTGATTAATTACAAATTTTAAATGTAAATGTTTGAAACATAAATATGAGATAATGAAGTTTGGATCATTGATTTTTATTCCTGACACTAAGAAGATTGAAATATTATTATTATACTTATCATACATAAAAAGTAATCGTTTGTTTTATTCTAGTGCCTCAAATGATCAAGCAAGATCCCACAGTGATGTCTTGGGGACTTTGGATAAGTACTTTAACGACAACCTCGGCTGCACTTGTCACTGCTGGTCTAGCTGCTTTACTCGCTGTTTTGAATACAGCCACTTCACCTAGATCCAAGATCCTTTCTGATCCTGGAGTATATTTCATAAATATTTTAACATGTAAGTTAAAATTCCTGTATTTTTTTAATATTTATAATCATTAAAATCTTTTTTATTTAAAAAAGAAATTTTTTTTTCAAATTTGAGAATTAAATAAAAATTTATTGAATTATTTGCACAATTATAATATAAAATATTTGATATACTGATTTATAATTGGTATTTAATTTAGTATTAATGTGCATGGCGAGTACGAGCACTTGGCTGGCGCAATATTACACAAAGCTATACTTCAATGTACTTCCTAAGGAGGACATTGATAATATGTGGACCAGTGAAGGTTCTGCTGAGCTTGGTTATTCATTTTGGTAAGATATTTTTTTATTTTTTTGTTCGAAAACGAGAATATGTTCATAATGGAAAATTTCGGCAAAGTTCTATCAATGATCTTGTATTTTTATTGACAAATTTTATATATTAAATATTAAAATATTTTATATATTTCAATTCATTATTAAAATTCTCAATAGTAAAATTTAACTTTTTCAAATTATGAATAGTAAATGTAAATCATACTCATAGTCATAATCTTTTAGCTCTCATTGTTGAAATAAATAAATCAAAATAAGATTTCTAATATAAATTAAATTTTTTAACTGTTATTCTAAATGTATTAGAAAAAAATAAAAAATCTTATTCTAAGATAAAATATAACTTCTTTTTTCTAGTTAATATAAAATTATAAAATTTCAAATTTCACAAAAAATAAAATAGATAATTAACCATTTTAATTTCCGTTTATTATCCTCTTTTCAGGCTCGTTGTATGCGCTGGTGTAGTACATTTAATCAGCATAGCATTGGTCGGTTGGGGTTCAGGACGAGACAAGATCGAACGTCTGGAGACAATTCCGGCATTGGAGGAAAAGACTGCTGCGGCAATAATGCTGTATTGAACCTGGGACTCTTGAGACAGATCTCAGAGACAAGAAATCCATTACAAAAATTACAGAGTGCTGCTCATATCTGTTAGTGTGCGACGAGGTAACAAGGATCGATTAAGCAGAAAGCAGATTCTACTGCAATAATTCTACTATTCGAGAAACGACAAGTTCCTAAATGTTAGCATACTTAACATTGTAATATTAAAAGGAAACAAAGGAGCAAGCACGTTAATAGAATTATTATATAATAATATAATCTTAATAAAAATTGTAATATAAAATTTTTCTGAAAATATCCAATTTATACAATTCAATTATTCAAGATTATTCGTAACCAATAGACGAATTCGTGCAAAATCAAGATTTTTTATAAACATTTTATCAAATTGAGTGTAGAAATAGCAGATATAATTTTTATCGTCGATTTTTATCAAAATTATGTCAAAATACATTTTGATTAGATCTGTAATTTCTAATTAAATGTTCTATTTGAAAAATATAACCGCGGGATTTTTAGACCGTTGAAATTATCGAGAGTGAAAACTAAGCTATGTAATTGATGATTTTTACACAAAGTTATGGATTTTCACCGTAATATTGCGTAAATTGAAATATTTTGATTAGTATTAATAAAGTTCAGTACATATATATATATATAGTATATATAGCATACAAAGTATATACTATATATGATATTGAATTATGCTATATTTTTTTGTAATAGTTGCAAGAAATATCTCGATTAAATATAAATATACAAGATGTTAATATATTTGTAGGATATTCTATCTTTTCTATTAACTTATAAGCAATTTAAGTTTGCAATTCTTTAAAAATCTTCTACAAATATATTAATATTTTGTATACGTGTCAAGCGCAATTTATTCTACTATAATAGTAGTTCTTTTTCTTATGCATTGTTGAATTATGTTTTTTGTCAATTTATAATCTAAATATTCTTTTTTTTTTTATTTTTTATGCATCTAAAAACATTCATTTTTGCATTTATTAATCTTTAAATTAATCTTTCTTTTAAAAACTTTCAACATTCTTTTGTTTACAATAATGATTAATAATTAGAATCTAAGAAAAATAACATATATGCACATCTTGCCTTTTAGATGAATAATAAAATAAATGACGTGTTTATATTTTTTATCCATATGTTTGTGGTTGTGCTTATGTTACGAGGCAATTAAAAAAAACTTCATAGGTTGTAAATAGAAACGGAGTTTGATACTCTGTAGTGATTTATTTATTACGTAGTATCTTAATTAACTATATCATAAATGTAATAAAACAATTAAAAAGACAATACAGATAAGATGCGTAGATCTGCATTTATACCATAATAAAAAGGTTTTGCTTTTACATTTGTCTCAAAACTTTGTTGCATTATCATACAAGCTAAAAATCGTTGCCTCGGATGTGTGCGGAAGATTATTGTAGATCTTTCAAAGTCACACAATTATTTATTTTACTTTCTTTTTTCAGAGAGAAGGTATTACGACGATTGTATTCCGGTTTTATAAAAAATTAACGTAATAATTAGAATACAAGAGAACTTTATTAACGTTTTGAGACTTTTAACCTCTGTCATCAAGTTAGTCTAGCCAATTCAATATCGTCAATATTCATACTATTCTCCAATCCCTTCTACTCTGTACATTAATTCATATTTCATATATATATATATATACTGTATTCAAGCTTTCTGAGTTTTTTCACTTTCTTTTTTTTACAAATCTAGTAAACATAATGCAGTGTAGTCGATTTAGTCGAATTCTTGTCATATTAGAAAAATCATAAAAACTTAATCTTATCATTGGCTATTAACATTGCATTTCTTTTTTTTAAACTTATGACGAATGTATGAATTGGCTATGACCCATACATTTTTGTGCTTTTTCCCGATACTCTTATTACAAGTATATTCGGAGAGAAATGAAATGGTGCACAAAACAGTAGAGTTGGGCCCATCAAGTACTTTTAGGCAAAAGTCTAACTGCATATTATGCACTGTTCTTGAAGAATAATAACGTTGTTTCTATAGATTGTTGCTGACTCCGTGTTAACGTCGGCTCACCTGTGACCAACCTGGTCCATCATCTTCTGGTGGTCGTTTTCTTTCGTCATGTTTTGGTGGAAGTCTGTCATCTTTAGAATCATCTCGTCTATTAATTTAAAGATTTTTTTAAATGATTTATATTTAAAATATTATATTATGTTATATTATAAATATTATATTATATTTAAAATAATCACATTAATCTATATTATTAAAATTAATATCTGAATTAATAAAAATATGCTTACTTTTCATCGCGTCTTGGTAAGTCTCGAGGTGAATTTTGTATTGCATCGCTTTTATCGCGCCAATTTTGACTGCTAATATTACGCATCGTTTCTTCACGACGATGACTACCACCACCACTGCCACCACCACTACCGCCGCCACTACCACCGCCACCGCCACTACCACCACCACCACCACCACGACGATCAGGCATTCTACCACGATTACGAGGTCCATCAGATATTGGATCACGTGAAATATCACGCATCTGTGAAATTAAATACGAACATGTTTTATTTATAAATTTATTAAAAGTTTTTATATTATTTTATACTTACTGAACGTCCATCCATCCCACGATCTTTATCTATTCGATCTCTATTATCCCTTGTATCATCTTTATCATAATCATCTTTTCTCCATCTTTCGTTGGTATCTTTTTTCGGTTTATCATCGTCCTTACGCCATTTATTGTCCATATCTCTTGCGTCTCGTCTTTTCCAACGAGTCGATTCTTCTTTAATGCCGTCATCTTTTGCATCAACAGGACGACGCCATGACATTTCGACTATAATCAAATAAACAGTATAAAAATTATGTAATCTCTAAAAAACTATAAAAACATATAATACAAATAAATATATATACCTGGTTTTTCTTGCATACGATGACGATCTCCACGTCTCCACCTATCAGATATTTCCTTATCTCTCTGTCTCTCCTCTTCTAATTTTCGTTCTATTTCGGCTTCTCTAGCTCTAGTAATCTCTGCTTGTTTTTCAATTTTGGCTAAACGTTCAGCTTCCCTTGCTTCTTCTTCTGCACGCCTTAATCTTTCTTCCTCTTCTCTCTTAGCTCTTTCTTCTTCCAAACGTCGTTTTTCTTCTTCTTGTTTGATTCGTAATTCTTCTAGACGTCTTCTTTCAATAGCTTCAGCTCGTTCCTTCTCCCATTTGGCTTTGCGTTCAGCTTTACGTTCCATCTTACGTTTTAACAATCTGCTAACTCGTTCTTCATTCAACACTTTTTCAAATTCTTTTAGTTTCTCTAAATAAATACTCTTACGCTCGGCCAAAATCTTCGCCAGGAAAATATCATGATCTTCTTTCATTCTTGCCATACGTTCACGAGTCGCGACAGCCTGCTGTCTTTCCTCGATAGCCGCAGCAATTCTTTCAGCTTCTTGTTGCTCCCAACGTTGCTTAGCTAATTCCATTTTTTCTTCAACTGCTTTTTCTAAAAGTGGAATTTCCTCTAAACGCTTGGCACGTTCCAAGTAATCAATTTTCTTTTCCTGAGATTTTAATTTTTGTTGCATTTCCCTACGTTCTTTCTGCAATTCCTCGGCTTCTCGAGCTGCGATTTGTTCTGCATCTAATTTCTTGATTTCATCTTCATCCAATTTCTTTAAAACTTTCTGTCCATGACTAGTTTGAGATATTTGTTGCATCTTCTCTTTCAAATGACGATCCTTAATCTGTTGAATCTCGCTTTGTTGTCGTTTTCTCTCGCGTTCTTCTCTCTCTTGTTCAAGTCTTTTTTGTTCTGCTAACATTTGCTGTCTTTGTAATTCTTCTTGTCTTCGCATCTCTTCTTCTTCGCGAACTGTGTTTATATGTTCTATGTATTCCTTTCTTTCCTCTATAATTTTATGCCTTCCTAATATTCTTTGATGTTCCTTCATTTTGGTTTCATGATAATGGCTTACCATGGCGGCACGTAATTTTTCACGCTCCATCTTTTTTTTATTTGGATTAATAATATTAATTGCACGATGTAATACAGTAGCCATATTTACAAGTTGACAACGAATTTGTTCAGAAGGCATTGCTTGTAACACGGGACCATCAGGATGATCTTCCCTCTGTGCTTCCGACAAATCGACTCCGAAATGCACACATTTTTTCCCGTGACTAATTCTTATTTGCATATCATTGTATCTAACGCAATCTACAAGTAGACGTTCCAAATGAAAATCTGTCGTAAATTTAGCTAGTTCCAAAAGCCTAGCAAATTTTATTGTTTGATAAACTTGTGATATCTGATGAACTAGACGTACAAGAGTTACATCTTGCAAGGCTGGGATATATTGAATCAAAGGACTGCTTTCATCTGCTTGTAGCGTCTGAATAACGGAATCTACTCGGCTACATAGCTCTAAAGGATGAAACTCAACCTCAAGCCACGAATATAATTCTTGTAATTGCGGTGATGCTAAATTGACTATATTTAAACGAACGATATCTTTAAGTAAGGAAACTCTTGTTGGTGGTTGTGTAAGTCCTAAAAGCGTTGCGAGTTTTTGAGCTTTTTCTAATGGACTCTTGTCTGTTTCGATAAAACGATCAAATTCAGGATGAGCTGATGGCAGTGGGATAGATAAGGTAGCCAATAAGACACGATTGGCCATTCTTTGCTGTTCCTCCAAAGACATATTCTTTTTCATTTCACGGGAAAGCTGCAGCAATTTAAATAATGCGGCAGCATGGAAAAGATAGTTTCCTGCTTTCCAGAAAACCATAGCCAATTTTTGGTAGTAATTGGCCATGGTTTTTGGTACTGGAAGTTTCTTAGATAAATTCATCATACCATGTACATCTTCAGAGGATTTGAATGCTTCTTGCCATAGCTCCATTTGTATTGCAGAATCAAGTTGGTTCAATCGCGTTTCTAAGTTCAGTTGTTGTGTCTCAGCTCTATTCATGGAAACATTAGAAACAAGCGCCGGTAATTTACAAATTTCTTCTAAGTGTTTTCGTAATTTTTCGCATAATTTACGAAATTCAGTCTTACGATTATATTCAAGACAAAATTGGAAGGCCATGCGTGCAATATCATGATATAATGTTTCAACATGAGCATTGGTTCTTAATAATTCTAAACACTGGCAATAAGATTCCCATAGAAATTTCACCCATGGTGTGAGGATAGTGCGGTCGCTTCGGTCTTGAGCATCTTCACCACTAACCGCCGATAATAAAATACTTTCTGGAGTGG